CTACCCTCAGGTGCCTTGGAGAATAGCTTGACTCCCTCTTCTTTGGAGCAGCCCCTGAGATATTGGAAGGCTGCTATCATGTCTCCTCTAGTCCTTCTTTTCATTAAACTAGACATATATCAATTCCTGCAACCGTTCTTCCTATATTTTTAGCCTCCAGTCCCCTCATCATCTTTGCTGGCTGAAATTAAATAACCTTTTTCTTTAAAAAGAGAGAAAATAAACACAGCCGAATGTTTTGAGTTTAAAATGTCTATAGGGACAAAAGAGGAATCAGAGTTGCAACCACAAAATTGCCAAAAGAAGAGAAACAAAACTTAACTGTTAACTTTTAGTGTTTTTTAAAAAAATATTATTATTTTGTCTGTGGAATATCTTTTTGGCTGCACTCAACATAAACATAAGATGGGAGTTTCTGAGAATTCAGCCCAGCCCCACTAGGTGACCTCCTTTTTCTTCATGAGGTCTAGGAACTTGACAAGTTTCCGGGGACACGGACTTCTCGCTCAGACGCCTCCATCATAATTTGAACCTGACAAGGGCCTCGCCTTCCTTGGGGAGGGAATGTCTTAGGAACAAAGAGGCCAGAAATGGAGCTTACAACCTATCCTTCCTGCTTCCCATCCAGATGGCCTCAATTACGACGAGATCCATGATATGTCCAGCCCAGTGACGGGAGAACGGTGTTCTCCGTGGGATCGCGGAAGACGGACTTGGGAAATAAACTACCAGGAAGCTGCCATTTATCTACAGGTGGGCCCTAATTTTTGCTTGGGGGGGGGGGTTTGGAAAAAATGAAGGAGGACGGGGAGGGGGAGCGTCCCAGAAACCGCCCTCCTCCAGCCTGAAGAACGGGCGCTAAGAATTCCGGGAGTTGGGAAGTCCACCCATCCCAACAACTGTCCGCTCTGGCAAGGCCAGAGACCTGGAGCTGCCATTCAGGGGAGGAATCTGGGCCAGTTGTCAAGACTCACCTTCCCTCCTCCACAATCTTCAGCCGAAGAAACTACAAAACTCCTGCTAACAATCCATGATTAATTGCCGGGTGGTTTTTCCCTCTGGGTCACAAGGTGTAGGAACAAGTTAAAACACTTTCAAATCATCTCTGTGTTTGGCTGTTTTCATTAATCCTTCAGAACCTGACGTCAACTGTGGCCGGAAAGGTTGTAAAAACGAGGCGTCCTTCCTTTAACCACTGTCTCGCTTAGCAACATTTTAAGGCTCCGTTGGGGTCATAAGTCGAGGAGTGGCTGTGTTTGGGGTTTGTGCCATAACTAGGTGGTTTTTCTTTTTTTCTTCTTAAACATTCCAGGAAGGCGAGAACAATGATAAATTCGTCACTCATCCCAAGGACCCCAAAGCCCTCGCTTCCTACCTCTTCGTCCACAACCATCTCTTCTACCTGATGGAGCTCACCACGGCGCTGTTGCTCTTGTTGCTGTCGCTCTGCGAAGCCCCCGCCGTGGCCATATTCCGCCTGGGCATTTACGTACGTGGTTCAAAGGGAAGGAGAAGGGGGCGAGAGGATCAAAGGACATAGTGGGGGCTACCTCCCCAAACCCAAACCCCTTGCTCATAGGAGGGATGGTGGGCATGTTCTGACCAAGGCTTCCCGAGAGCATGAAGCCAACTCCTGGTCCCGACAAAAACCCCTTTTATTAATTGGCTGTGAATTCCGCTCATTCACATCCAGCAAAGTCTTTCAAGGAAGGATTTACGGTCACAGACCTTATCTGGCTTGGAGAGCTGCCAGGCCGATATCTGGAGAACTTGGCAAGGAGTCTGGGAGAGTCAGGAGCCAATTAAGCAAACTAATTGCCTTCTGCAAACTCCACTCCCCTTTCGTTCCTCTTTTATTTCCTCTGGGTGGGGCCATTCACCGTCCCCCTGTGGCCATACTCCCAAGTCGGTCCCTGTTCTTTAGCTGTTCTCTTCGTCTGGCAACTCTGCGCATGTCCACACTGGAAACAGGCTCCAGCTGTTCGTCTGCCTCACTGATGTCTGACTCTGAAGGCAGCTGATAACTGGCCTACGGCTCTGGCCCCCTCTCTGCCTCCGACACAGAGCCCTCATCAGAGCCTTCCCCAGACTCCAGGACTGGCCCATGTTCCTCCCCAACCCTACTCACTGTCTGAATCTGCCGCCAGCTCTGCTGGCTGTTGGCAGGCCACAATACTTACAAACAACAAAAGTCAACAATCATAGTTACAATCGTTCACCCGCAAGATACAAACCACAAGTGATAAATCATAAGACACCAAGAGGAGAAGATAGTAGGAAAGATAAGTGGTTGAGAAATGAGGAAGATGGGAAGGGTAAAAGCCACGCAGCCTGCTACACGATGAGTAAGACAAGACTGTAGGAATGAGGTGTTCAAGCCCTAAAAGTTGCCTTTGGTTTTGGAGAGCCCCGAATGTAGAATCCTGGGCCTGGAAGGGTCCTCAAAGATCATCTAGTCTATGGATCTCCAACCTTGGCAACTCTTGTGGACTTCACCTTCTAGATTGTTTTGCTTTGCTTTGCTGGCTGAGGGATTCTGGGAGTTGGAGTTCACAAGTCTTAAAAGTTGCCAAGGTTTGAGATGTGATCTAGTCCACCTCACGGCAGGACAGAGATCATCTAGTCCACCCCCCTGCTCAAGGCAGGAGCTGTTTGTTTTTTTACGAACGAGCGAAGGAACATGCAAACTCCTGCAAACTCCACTCCCCTTTCGTTCCTCTTTTATTTCCTCTGGGAGGGGACATTCACCGTCCCCCTGTGGCTTTCCTCCCAAGTTGACCCCTGTTCTTTAGCTCTTCCCTTTGTCTGGCAACTGTGCGCATGCACCTCTCATTCTTCCCCCTTCTGGTTTCAGGTCCATGCCACCTTGGAGCTGTTTGCCTTGACCGTTGTGTTGTTCGAACTCTCCATGAAATTAAGATGGCTGGGCGGCCATACCTACATCCGGCACAAAAGGACCATGGTTAAGGTAAGGCTTTACCTACCTCGCTTGAACTCGGCTGATGTTTTTACCTGGAAATATATCCCACCTAAAGGGACGTGGTGGCTCAGTGGTTAAGACACTAAACCACTCAGCTTGTTGATCAGAAAGGTCGGCGGTTCGAATCCCTAGCAGCATGTAACGGAGTGAGCTCCTGTTACTTGTCCCAGCTTCTGCCAACCTAGCAATTCAAAAGTAAAATCCCCATTCCCGCCGCACTCCGGGGCCAGCCAGATGTAGCATTTGCTAATTCTCTGAACTACTCAAAATTTCCGCTACCGGTTCTCCAACTACTCAAAATTTCCGCTACCAGTTCTCCAACTACTCAAAATTTCCGCTACCGGTTCTCCAACTACTCAAAATTTCCGCTACCAGTTCTCCAACTACTCAAAATTTCCGCTACCGGTTCTCCGAACTACTCAAAATTTCCGCTACCGGTTCTCCAACTACTCAAAATTTCCGCTACCGGTTCTCCGACTACTCAAAATTTCCGCTACCGGTTCTCCGAACTACTCAAAATTTCCGCTACCGATTTTCCGAACTACTCAAAATTTCCAC